GGGCTGCCGGCCCGCCCGCCTGCCCGCTCCTCCCCGGTGGGGCCGGGCCAGGACCCCAGGAAGGGGCCCGCGTGCCCTGTCCCTGCAGGCTGGCTCCACCTGGAGTCCCTGCACAGACAGCCAGTCCCCCAGCCCCCAGCAAGGCCCGCCTAGCCCTGCCCTGTGGTCCGAGCAGGACCAGAGGCGCAAGCGGAGATGCGGGCAGGCCTGGGCGGATGGCGGCTTCTCGGGGAAGCCACCTATGGCGGTGCGTGTGCATCCTCCTTCCCCTCGGTGCAGGCCAGCAGGAGCCAGCCAAGGAGGCAGTGGCCTTCGAGGTCTCTCTGAGCAGTGGGGTGCTGGAGGCACGGCCCACCAATGCACCCCCAACCTCCATCATTCTGCAGATTTTCTTCACAGCCAGGTACAGCCCCTTGGGGCCTCCCTGTCCCTGCCCATGGGGCCGGGGCCCCCCGCTCAGGGCTGCCCCCCAACACAGCCCCTCTCGCCTGCAGGAGCAGCAACCTGTACGAGGGCACGCTGGCGGTGGAAGGCGTGCTGGGCGAGAAGACCTGCGCCCTGCGGCTCCGCGGGCAGGGCTCGTGCGATGAGAAGTACCTGTCACCTTACCAGCTCTGAGCTTTCCCAGCCCAGCCACCCCTCCATGCCGTAAGTGAACACGGCCCAGGGCTGCAGTGGGGCCTACTGCGCGGGGACACAGACCAGGGGACCTCTGAGCAGCCCCCAGGGTGGGCGTCCCTCCTAGGGCGAGGGTCTCCACCCAGGCCGACGGATGCACCGACGCGAGGACGGCACCATGGAGACCACGGAGCTCAGAGCCCTCACACAGACCGGGCAGAGACGGCACGGCAGACACTGGTCCTTAGTAACACGTTTAATACGGCATCGCGGTCCTCATCCGGGACACTCGCCGCCCCAGGAGCCCCGTGACGGCCCTGTGGCACGGGTGACGCAGGCTGACGGCAGGCCAGCCAGGGAGGGACTGACGGGGCGGCCTGACCCCCACCCCGTACTCCTGTGTGTCATCAGTGTTCACGTTGTCCAAACATGCTGAAGAGCCGTGATTTGTCCCTGCTGCTGCGCCGGTGTGGAACTGTCCTGTGGTCTGGCTCCGTAGTGTCGCGCTTGCTGGTGGCTCCCCAGCCTGGGGCCTCGCTCAGTTCCCAGGGTATTCGAAGACAGCAGCGGCCCCCATCCCGGTCCCGATGCACATGGACACCACACCATACGCCCTGTGGGAACAAAACCATGGAGGCCGGGTGGAGGCCCGTCTCCAAACACCCCGGGAGGTTGAGCCGGGTGGGCCAAGGCCTAGATCCCACAGGACACAGAGCACCGGAGCAGCTCCCGGGCAGCAGGGCCCTGGACTGTCCACCGGGGCACACTCGGGCGGCAGATGCCTACTGCAGGCTAGGGTAGGGTGCCTTCCAAGGTTGGCCCTCAGGAAAGCAGAGATCGCGCCCGTGTCCTCGGTTTAGAGCGTGTATGCGCGCGCGTGCACGCTCCCCATGCCCAGCCCTCTGTCGCCCCAGCCTGGGCATCCCCCACGGCTCCCCTGTGAGGACCCGGCCTTACCTTCTCCCACGGCGCTTCAGCTCGTTGAGCAGCGTGACGACCTGTCGTGCCCCGGTGCAGCCCAGTGGGTGGCCCAGAGCCACTGCACCCCCCAGAGGGTTCACCTTCTCAGCGGGGAGTCCGAGCTTCTCCACGCAGTACACAGCCTTGCAGAGGGCAGAGCTGTCAGACCTGTCAGCTATCGCCTCTGCTCCCCCAGCCCCGCTCGCCCTCTGGCTCCGGGATAGCCCAGGGTCCGGACAGTGTTGAGAAACCGAGGCTCACCTGGCTCGCAAAGGCCTCATTGATCTCAAAGATGTCCACGTCGTCCACAGTCAGGCCTGCAGGTAGGGTGACCCGAGCTGACGCAGCGGCCCCTCAGCGGGGCTCGCAGCCTCCCGAGGCCCCACCCCACCCATGAGCCTGCAGGCTACGTCTGCCTCCAAGATGGCGCACGGAACCCAGCTGTGGAGTCAAGAAGGGCTTGGGGGGACAGTTAGCGTAATGGCTATGTAGCCGGACTCCCATGTAGTCGACCGCAGTTTGCGTCCCGGACCCGGTGGCTTAAAACTCATGCCAGACGCGTGTGCGTGCGTGCCCAAGATCCCGAGAGGAGAATGGAGGAGAAGGGATTGTGGCGTGGCCATCCCCCTTCTGTCTCTCTGTCTCTGTCTGGCGAGCGCACGCGCCCGAAAGCAAAAAAAAAAAAAACCCACATCTCCCAAGAAGGGCTTTGGGTAAAGGCTGGCAGCTTGCCCCACCTTCACTCTGCAGCAACCAGGGGGCCCTCCCTGCACCTCAACTCACTCCACCCCCAAAAACAGCATGCAGGGCAGGAGTGGGATCCGGGTGGGCCCCAGACCTAGGCTGTGAAGGGGCCACCTTACCTGCTTTTTGCAAAGCAACAGGGATGGCATAGGCAGGTCCGATGCCCATGACGTCAGGCGGGACTCCCACCACTGCATAGGACCTCAGGACCCCGAGGACAGGCAGACCCAGCTCCTCCGCCTTGGACCTCCGGGCCAGCAGGATGGCAGCCGCCCCGTCACTCACCTGGCTGGAGTTTCCTAGGGCAGATTGTGGAGATGAGCAGGGGTCAGGGCAGGGCTGCAGAGCGTCCCACAGTG